GAAGAAAAAAACTTTTGATAGTTAGCCAACTCAGACTCATTTCGTTCTTATTCTAATTTTGCTGCTTAATATGATACAGTTCCCATCCATCCATCCATCCATCCGCGAGACATTTCTGGCAAGAGGCAGGGTACACCCTGGTCAGGTCACCAGTCCATCACAGGGCAACACAGAGACTGACAGAACAAACAATGCTCACAACTAAGGAGAATTTAGAGAAACCAATTAACCTGACAGTCATGTTTTTGGACTGTGGGAGGAAGCTGGAGTACCCAGAGAAAACCGACTCATGCACAGGGAGAACATGCAAACTCCACGCAGAAAGACCCCGAGCTAGGAATCAAACCCAGGACCTTCTTGCTGCAAGACAACAGCTCTACCAACTGTGCAGCCCCTTCTGATTGGTCTAATTTCAGTACCTAAACAATGAACCTATGTGAAAAAAAATATTTACTGTACATACCAATCTACTTTATGAAAATGTGAAAAATTTAATCAGCTATTAATTCCCAAATTCCTTTCTATCGTGCATGCAGTAAACAATGTACCCAGTATTTTTATTTTGCTTTATTTGACATCTTCTGCAAATTGGATAGATGACTGACTTTCAAAATTTTAATTCCTCAAATGAGGCAATTTTTCATCTGCTGCTTATGTGGCCCTGAAGTAAAAATAAAAACTTGCAGTAAAACATAATCAAGAAAGTCTGTGGTGCTGTACTTCTGCCATCATCTGTTGGATTAGCAGCATCCAATAGATCATCCATCAAAACCCAGGACTTAGAAAGGCTAAACATCCTGGTAAAAAGGCTGTCGTCGTTCTGGAGACTCCTACGAAGTCTCATGCAATGATAGTGTGAAGAATTCTGGTTATTCATAAAATCAGAAGACAGAAAAACATAGTGTCTTCAGTTGGAGGCTTCTTCAGAGTCGCTGTAATACTGACTGCTACAGGAGATCCTTCCTGCCCACAGTCATCTGCATCTATCACAACTTTTTAAAGAAAATTATGAGTTGAAACAGCACTCAATTTATCTTTGGGATCAATAAAGTATTTTTGAATCTGAAAGTGAAATATGCAACGGTAGCACACATGTAGGTTTTTATTAACCAGCAAAATCCAGGCTGCAGATACAACAATGATGGGTTTTTACTTTCATCCAAAGCAGCAGCATACATGCTAAACAAATCTTCAAGGAGAAAAATCTATGCCTATGCTGAATTACATGTAAGACAACTGGATGGGAACAAACCTTGAAGCACATAAACACAATAAAAACATAATATGATTTTGTTAGCTGCATATTTAACCTCAAACAAGCATAGGGTTAAGTTTTTTTTTTTTTTTTTTTTTTTAAGAATGCCTGGTTATCCATAAATCGTCCACGCTTCAACAAACTAGAAAGCCTTTGCTGCATAAAGACAGAATTATCTGTGGAAGACATAAATATGGAAGTGACAGTTCTCATGGGGCAGCAAGAGGCCACAACAAAACAGGAGCCCATCCCGGACACTAATGCCCCGTGTCTCCCACCATAGGGTTTTCTTAATTACATTAACCAAATGCGCTCTGCTGTGTGTGCAATCTCATGGTTAACTGAACACCCCCGTAGCTGCACCCGCCCCCCACCCCACACACACACACACACACCTCCCATCCTCGTCCCACGGTGAAATATTCATGTTGAAAGCCACTCTTCCCATCGACTCTCTTCCTCCAACATGTTCTTGCCCGTAGTTGCTCAACCATGCTATCATTGTTTGGGAGTAACCTCTCCAAAACGTGCCACTATTATTTGATATTAGGGCAACAGAAGTGTTGAAATATTCACTCTAGTGAAATAAGGGGCCGAGCTGAATTTAAACATCTTCATGACTGTTAAGTTGAAGTGTGTTGACGTTTGTTTGTAGCATTTTACAGCACAATTTCCTTACAAAGCTTCTATTAATGTATATGTTCTTTATATAATTTGGAGCTGCATCTGATTCTAAAGTACATATTTGTGTTTCGGACTGTTATCCCAAAACACTGATTCAGATTGACTAGGCGGGACTAATTTGAATACATGAACTATTCATTAATTGAATAAAGAGGCTAGTTAGCCCCAAGGCCTCTTTATAATCATAAACTGGGGTGTACTACTTATGCAAAACAGCAAAGTGCCATGTGCTGGCTTATTATGCTAATGGTGAATGGCAAAATACATGTTTCTCCTGCTCACAAAAGAGGATTAGGCATGGCAGCATCAGCAAGTTGCTCCCAGTGTATAGAGTGTGTTCCTCCATATTGCAGCATCTTGAGATGCAGCTGTGTAATGTGATTCTTCCTGTACTCGTCAGGAAGCCTGGATGTGATCGCAGCCCCCTCCTCAGCTATTGCTCATCCTTTCCTGTTAAAAAAAAAAAAAAAGAAACATTATGTTACAAATTAGAACTCAACACAGGTACATTTCATCCATCCAGATAACCTTCTTTTGTTCGAGCCATTTTCTTTTGGTGAAAACATTTCAAATTTGGGGGGCAAAAACAAAACTTTGGACCTACAAAAACTAAAAAAAATTCAAGGCTAATTTCTAACACGTGTTTAAACATTTTGAATAGTTGTATCATATAATAAAAAAACTGCTCTTTGGAAGACAATATACATCATTTATTAGGTCTCATTAGCCAGAGGAACAAGACAGTGTTGCACAATGCACACCCAATCTATTGCTTAAAATCATAGATGAGGCCTCGTCCGGAGGGTATAGATATATTGATAAACTGAGATATCTGCTTGTTAGTCTGTTTCTTTCTTCACTCCAACAGTCATTAAAAATAAAGCCTGTAGTTCTGCCAACTGTATCTACTGTTGATTGTCAGCAAGCTCCTACACTGTTAGGTACAACTGATGTTTTCTTGTTAAAAGGTGCGTTACAACAGTTTTTAGTGTTGTGAATTAAAGTTTGTCCTGAAATCAGTAGTTTGACGGTTTGATTCGCATTCTGTCGTTGTGTCCTTGGGCGAGGCACTTTACCTGCTTTACCTGCAGGTGGCGGTCAGAGAGCCTGCTGGCGCCGGTGCATGGCAGACCTGCCTGTCAGTGTGCAACAGGCCAGCTGAATATGGTTGCTATCCAGTAGCTTGCCACAATTTAAAATTAAACATTTTGAAAATGATTGTATATGTCAGCGTCTGCCAGTCCAGCAGTAAAAATGTGCTAATCATTCATAAACTGTGGGCAAAATCTGTACAATCAGTAGTTCAATAAATGCAATTTGTACGATGTCATGAAACTTTAACAAAAATTATAACTAATTGCAGTGGCTGTTGTAAGTTCTCAGAGACAATAGCAGTAGTAGATGTATTGTTTTTTGTAATAGTTTTCCATGTTTCATTGATTTACAGCCAACTATATTTGTTTAGAGCAAATCTTGACACAGAAACCCCTAAATTATGACAGAATATAACATTTCAGTCAGTGCAGTTAAGAAATACTAAAGTAATGGAGCAAATTCCCTGTTGAAGTTTAATGTTAATCACTGGTTACTAGGATGAGATTTAGGGAGAGAGTAGAAATTGTTCAACTGTTTCGTGTTTTCCAGGTTTCAAGACTTTGCTTAAATTCTTTTAGAGTTTGTCCAAAACATGATACTGTCATTAAAATATAAGTGAGTACATCAAATGGAAGACGCCATTGTTCCTGTGTAAATATAAGGAAAAACTAAAGTTGTCTAGAAGCTGTGCTATTAGCTTCGACAAAACATATTTAATGTCCTACATATTACAAAAAAACAAACACAGAAAACTTAAATTTGAAAACTTCTGTTAATTACTGATACACTAGTCTGAAGCGTCTTAAAACTTTAAGTCGCTGTAGGATTGTTGTAGATATCATCCATTAAAAATAAATAAATAAATAAAAACTATCACTGAACAATATTTGCATGGAGAAAAACAGGAGAAAATAAAAGAAGAAAATGCTGCCGGCTTCATGAACACAGAAACTTTAAAACCCTAAGGTTAAGAAAATTACTAAAAAGGCTTAAATTCAAAAACACAGGAACAAATAAATAAATCAATTTCCAATATAAATAAATACATAAACACAAACATTATTCTGATGAAATGAGAAAAGACCATAACATATTGAAATCTACAGTTATCATCATTAAAGATCAAGTTATTAAAAAAATAATAATACCTCAGTGTTTTTCAGGTATTTCAAAGCAAATGTTGTTAATTAACGGTAAGCCTGCAGGAGCTCTGCCGATCCACATCTCAGGCCAGAGAATCTGTAGACAGGTCAACTATCCATCATAAGCTCCATACCTTCATGGAAGTATCACAAGAAAAGAAAAGAAAAAAACAAATTCAAATTTGCAGCTTTATACAAACTGCAAATTTGTATTTTCCAGCAAACATGGAAAATAGTGTTCTGTTCTGGTTAGATAAGACCAAAATGTAACTTTTCTGACTTGCATGAAAACCACTGAGAGGTGGAAAATTAACACACGTGGTGGTGGCATCATCAACATCATGTTCTTCAGCAGGAGCAGAGAAGCTGGTCATTGTTGGTGGGAGGATGGATGAAGCTAAATGCATCTCAAACCTGTCAACAACATCACACTATTTATTGAATCTGACTGAGCATGAGGTATTTTTGCTGTACAGAATATGGAGAAAACTTTAGTCTCTGGATGTGTGATGCTGGTGTTGACATAGGCCACCCTGGAAGCAAAATGTGACTACAAAGTATCTATGAAAAGAATCTGAATACAAATATGTGCCACAGATTACAGGTTTTTTTCTTAACTTCCTGCTATTTATGTCACTTCATAGTAATACGCTACTATGAGCTGGCCGTTCCTTTACAATTTATCATTGTACTTTCTCCATATCACTTGTCGGCTTGCAACGTGGCGCCTTAACTCCTGTAATGTTACGAAAATCCCATCTGTGCATTGTAGGGATCATGTGATTGGACGAAGCGGGGGGCCCACTGTAAAACGGATGCTGTGATTGGTCGTACGTAAAGCGGCAGGAACTCCCGGCTTGGTTGCATCCTTACCACAAGGAAAGAGGACGGGACTGCTTTCAAAACTGTACAAGTGAGGAACTGGAAGTGTTTTTTTTTTTCTTTTAGAGGAGCTGGCTGCTGGCGCTGATGTTTTTACAGACTCGGCTTCCAACGAAAGAAGAAGAAGAAGAAGAAGAAAGAGCTCCGTTTGCAGTGGGAAGTGGAAGTAGCTGCGCTGCTGCTGACGCCTTGCCAACTGATTGTAGCTTTTCCAGGCCTGTTTGTGGTGCGTAAGGGGAGCGGGGGGGCTGCTGATTAAAATCAGCATCAGCCCCAGAGACTGATGGCTGGATTTAGCTTTAGCTTTAGCTTGGTGTGCGCTGTGCTCCTGGGCGCCTTCCTAGTGAGCACGAAGCCCATGCTGAGGAAGGAGAGGGTTCTCCGTGATCCAGAGCTGAGCAGCAGACAAGCCCACGAAGACAATAAGAGCTATCAGTACGACCATGAGGCCTTTCTGGGCAAGGACGAGGCCAAGACGTTTGACCAGCTCACCCCCGAGGAGAGCAGAGACAGACTGAGGTGAGAAATGATCCCCCTGACAGTGATGAGTCCTGATTTTTCTCTTATTATCATCCACTCGGTCTCATGCTGGAGTCTGCAACAGTACAGGTTGGTGGCAAAATGAACAGGAACGCATGTTCTTTAAGATGATCTCTCCTGTGTATTTTTGCTCTATATCAACTGGACGAAGCCTCACAAGTCATAAGTGGGTTGTTGCAGATAGTTGTTGGAGTGAATGTGCTGTGGAAGGTGTTTTCAGCTTCACTTTGGTGACAAGTTGGCATTATGTGCCACATGCGTATGAGGTGTGGAGCTGAAAGTGGGAGGACCCCTGTTGGGACGTCTCAACGTGGCAACACATATGTCTAAGAATATACTACAACCCACAGTGCATGTTTTTTTATTCTTTCTAAAATTGGGTTCACCCCGCTCCACCCACTGAAGTATTCTCACTGACGGTGTGTCCCTTCTACTAAAATACTTTGAGATGCACCAATTAAGCTTTTTCCCCAGCTGATACCCACTTTTGCCCTTGAGGTCTGAAATGCAGATGAAGGCCTGTAACACAAACACCAATTAAAATAGCATGTTGGCGGATTTATTATTTTTTTCTCTTACAGAACAAAAAAAAAAAAAAAAACAGGTGACATTTTAAGTTTTGATCCAGTTAAATGAATAGTTTTTTTTGTTTTGTTTTTATCCCAAGTATTTGGCCTGTCGATGACCAATTGGAGCTGTTAGAAATAAATACCCTTTCTGCCTTTCTGATTGTTGCATCACTGAACCTCTTAGAAGCAAGTGCATGTTTTTACAATGTCATTAATCAGAGTTGAAATGTCCTCATTAAAAAAAAGAACCTGTATCAATAATATCATCTATTTTTATTTTTTTTCCCTCCCTCAGCAAAATCGTGGACCGTATAGATGGGGACGCAGATGGGTACATCACGACAGACGAGCTGAACGCCTGGATAAAGCGTGTCCAGAAGCGCTACGTGTACGAGAACGTAGCAAAGGTCTGGGTGGATTATGATCTGAACAAAGACAACAAGATCTCATGGGACGAGTACAAGCAGGCCACCTACGGATACTATCTGGGTACGCCTCCTCTGGAAGTAGACATGCTACTATTCAAAGGCTTTTGCTTGCTGATACCAGTTTCGATTGGTTCCCATTTTTGTTTGTCTGAGGAATGTAACTCATGGAGAAGAAAAAAAAAACATATGATAGAAGTTCCTTGATTGAGATTTTAGATTTGAAAACAAACAAACAAAACAAAACAAAAAAACACCCTGAATTAAGCGTTAAAGCAAATAACCCCAAACACTTATAATTTTTTTTTTTACCTAAAAACCAAGTACGCGCTATTTGTTTATAGACCGAGAATGATGGGAGTTTTTGATCTTGGTGTACTTTATAAGTACTAATTAAAGAAGTACTGACCAAAGGCAATCAAGAGAAGATTGGCCAGTTCTGATCTTTAGCCACTTTATTATTTCTTTTTTTTCTTGGTAGCACTATGTTAAAGAGCTATTTCAATGCCAGATGATGACCTACCTTAAATGCACGCTTTCAGCTAACCCTCAGGAGTTTGAGGATGCCACAGACAAGTTCAGCTTTAAGAAGATGCTCCCTCGAGATGAGAGGAGATTTAAAGCAGCAGATCTGAACGGCGACCTGGCAGCAGACCGGGAAGAGTTCACATCCTTCCTCCATCCTGAGGAGTTTGAGCACATGAAGAGTATTGTGGTTCTGGTAAGCACCCCTCCCTCCCCTAAAAACACACAGTAATTACATATGATTAACTCGTAAGACCACGCCATCAGTTTTCTTATCTGGATTTCAAAGACGGTGAACTGTTACAGTTGGATAAAGAAGCAAGATTTCTTAAAAAAGTTAATTACATGGCCCATTATTTTAGTTAGAAACCCCAGTTTAATTTTGGGAATGTAGCTCCCAAAATTAGAGCTTTTTTTTTTTTTTGCCACCTTTGTATGACTCCCTAATGAAATTTGAACAAGTTCTGGAAATCATTGCGTCTGTAGATCCTTTTTGGAACAGACCCGATGGGAACCAACAGACAGTTGCATTTAGGCCCCGATCTTTAAATATAAATCTGGGTTTGTGGAACACTGGCGTGGCAAATGTTAGCAGTGATGCACTATGCTGCCGTGTTCATAAAACTTGTACCACCCATTTGACAGAGTTAATAATTAATCCCTCATTTTTCCGATGTCGCTGAATGTTAACCAAGGAACGGCTCAGGCAGCGGCGCTTCAACGGCTCTTTGCTGTAGTAAACACAATTTCAAAGATTGGAGTCCCTAAAGCTGATGCACAGATGTATTGTGTTTTTTTTTTTTTTTTCCCGCCCCCAACAAGTTATTCAGGTCTTTCACACAGAAGTGCAGAAAGGAGGCTTTGATGGCGCGCGTTGTTACAGGGAGAAACGTAAGAAGGAGCCACTTTGTGGCTGAGGAAGAACATGGCTGTAGGGTAACGGGACAGAAAACTAATGGAGGTTGTTGTGCAGGTTCAGGCAAGAACATAAACTGTTCCCAGTGAAAGCCAACGAGACACACACACACACACACACACACACACACACACACACACACACACATTCACATAACAGAACTCTCTGTTAAAAGGTCTGGCTTCACATTTCTACCTGCTAAGATCTCATTGTTGCCTGTAATTCTGCTCTCAGAGGCCAGATTTGTAGAGGGGAGTGGCTGCTGAACACTCACTGAACAAAATGTTCAAGATTCTTCTTTAGCAAGGATTTAAAACTGGAGCAAAGCCAGTAAATGATAGAAATATAACAACTTGTTTGCTTGACTTGACTACGATGGGCCAGTCGGACAAAGATGATCCCTGGGGCAAACAGGTGGTGGCGCTGAGGCTCCCTGTTGTTCAGGTTAGACATGGAGCAGCTTTAAACTGCGTAGTTTAAAAACCATGTACTTATTCAGGAAAAGGACCGGACTTGATCTGTTTGTTTGAAATGATCCAAAGCAGACGATTTAATTTTCGCTGTAATGGAATTTCCACCTCACGTTCTTGTGGTTTTATTGTTGAGGATGATGATGTGAATTTTCTCTGTCTCTCAAGATGATGACATTGCTCTTTTTAAATATGTCACCGTTAGCAAAAATTATTCAAAACATTGAAATTGTAATCTCCATCTAAATTCAGGCTGTGATTAGGAAACCTGCAAATTAGGGACAGACTAATGAAGAGATGGGTTAATGCAATTTTTTTTTCTTTTTTATTGACATGAAATCCATTTTTATAACTTATAGAACATTTCTTGTACCAAGGTATAAAGCTGTGATTCGACTGCAAGTTATTAGGTGTTGTGGGTTCCCCAGATATTTGGAAACAAACTGCTTAGTTGCACATAATTAGTTGGACATCTATTCAGAAAAGGTAATAAAAACACAAAATATTTTACCTATACATTTATATTTTTGATATTCTGGCTTTCTCAAATCCGTTGAACTGTTTGGTGGAAAGTTGCCAAACATGTTTTTATGAGTTTATTCATCAGTTGGGTAATTTTTCCCTTCATCTGCTCTGATCAGTGATTGTCGAGTTTTGTTGCCTTGTTACTTGAATGCGACAAACCAAAGAACTTTCCCTGCTTTTGGTCTATAAAAGCATCTTTTATGTTTGATTGTCCTTGCAAAGAAAGCATTGAAGTCCTAAGTGAAGCAGTGGAACAGAAGCGGAAAAGTAGCTGTAAGCTAATTATTTTGTTCTTGGCTTTGTATGCACATGTTTTTCTCTGTCCTGCTAATTGCTTTTCTTGTGTTTAGAAATCTGTTTGAAATAAATAAATTTCAGAAAATCAAGCTTAGGTTCAATAAAAATAGGTGTTGACGAGCAAAGGCCAGAGCTGAGTCTTTCTAGTTTCTTATTTTAAGCCCACATTATTTTCCAAACACTTGCGCTTAAAGGATTTCCAAGATACTTGTGCAAACATTTTGAAACCTTCTGAACTATCTTTGATAAGTGTGAAGTACTGGAAAAGGGTCTTTTATTATTTAAATCGCGTTAAATTGTTTGTTACACTGAAATAGTCGATGTTTTTGCCCCTTTATTTTTGCATCCCTTTATTTTTGTAGTTAAACTTATAGTTTACCTCCTATAAGTTTACAAAGACAAAACAGACTGACTATACACTTATTTTATTGTACATAATGCTATTTTATATTGTAAAAACATAATATGCTTTATCTGTCTGTGCTTTGTTTCCTTTTATGTGGTGCATTTTTTTTTGTCTTACCTACAAGTAAATTGATCACCTGTCTGAAATTATAACTGTCATTTTATGGCAAACATTTTAGAAAATAATCCTAGATAATATTGGAGATATTAATTACTTTATATATCGAATCTTCCAGTAAAAGTGCTTTATGATGCATTTGACCCCCATCTCAAATTGACTGCCATGTCCTGCTTATAAAAGGTGCAAAACATCTTGTTTATTATCGGAGGTCCAGAAATCTTCAGCTATGTCAATAACTTAAGTGTACGTATTTATTACAGAAACTCTATCAAGGTTGAAATATTTAACTTTTATGCAATAATTCTGGGATGAAATTGGAAGAACTATTCAGAATAAGTTTTCTAAATGTTAAGTTTTACTAACTGGAAAAATGTTATTTGCCTTTTAATTAAGAGGCTTCAGTCCTCATCAGCAGCGTTGTAATCGGCGTGTCAGTCTGCCAGCTCGGCTATAAGTCGACCCTCGCACACTTATTCACTTGCACGGCCAGGGGGCAACATGTCTCCCTTTTAACTACTCTCAGTGGAAGTCCCACTACACTTGACCCTCATGTCTCCTTTTAATGACGCCGTTAACTCGTTCTGAATGCAGGAAACGCTGGAGGACATCGACAACAACGGCGACGGACATGTGGATGAAGACGAGTACATTGGTGAGTTTGGAGAAATAAAATTGTATTAAATCGAATTAGGTTTAAAAAAAAAATAGTTTTGGAGAAATCGGCACTGAAGGCATCTGCCAGCTGGGCAGCGTACTCTGTGAACTGAAAGGAAACTGTTCAAATACGAGGAACTTTAAGGCAAGGGGAGGAGTCTCGCATCGGCTGGGCTATTTTGTCTTTTTAATTCTTATTCATGTCTGAAGTTTTCAATTTCGTTGAAGCGGATTAAAGTTTGAAACAAGTCTTGAGGTTTGGTTGTTATTTTTGCCTTTCATTTTTGCAAACAGTTTTGTTTCTGAACCCTGAACTCACCCTCAGGGTTATAACTTCTTTTGCTACAAATTTCAAAATAAAAGCTTGTGCTTCTCTATTTATTTAGGCTCATAGCTTGAGCGTTGTTGTGTTTTTTTCTTTTTTTTTAGTTTAAAAAGTGACTTAAGAGGAAAAAACGCATCTCCAAACAACAACTTAAGTGTTTCTCTGTCTGAAGCCGACATGTTTGCTCACGAGGACGGGGGTCCTGAACCCGACTGGGTCAGGACTGAGCGAGAGCAGTTCTCCGACTTCCGAGACCTCAACAAAGACGGAAAGATGGATCAGGATGAAATCCGGCAATGGATCATGCCGCAGGACTACGACCACGCCCAGGCCGAGGCCAGACATCTTGTGTACGAGTCAGACCAGGACAAGGTACGCCGCTTCAGCCGCCGCAGCGAGCTTTAAAATGTATCCAGTTTATTCATCTTCTCTCTTCTGTGTCATCAGGACCAGAAACTGACCAAGCAGGAGATTCTTGACAACTGGAACATGTTTGTTGGAAGTCAAGCCACGAATTACGGCGAAGACCTCACCAGGAACCACGATGAGCTCTGACGTGTATCTGTGTCCTGAAAACAGCAGAAATCAGGACGGGCCTCACAGCGACGGCTCTCAAGTAGGAGATGGATAGAAGATGGACCTACTGAGGTTTCATGATCGGTGTTTCAGTCCTCCTGTAGATAGTTTTGTTCCTGACATTCAGGAACGAAACCAGAGGGTTCTTGATCAGTGCCTTCCAGCCGTGCGGTAGCAGGCTGTGCTGCCTCTGAGATTTCTAACAGTGTTTTTAGACATCAGTCGTATGAACAGTTTGTGATAGAAATGATAATGTGAAACCTCAACTTAGAGCATTTATTATGTTTTTTTTTTTCTCAAATATTTCAGATGACTTTGATACTGAAAGTTGGGGAGGAATAGGATTTTTTTTTACTGAAAATGTTTGCGTGCAGTCTGATTACTGTTGTACTAATTTGTAACAGGTTTTTGTTTAGCTGAAGTGCTTTGATTTTCTTTTCATGAAACACAGCATGAACTTTGCACGCATTTGGTTTTAATGTAGCCTGTGAACATCCTTTTTTCTTCCTCCGTATTTAGTTTTTACTGTATTTATTAGTGTATGGAAAAATGTTAGTTTTTGCTTTTATATTGTTTTAGATTTAAGTTTACACTTTACTTTTCAGCAAATTAAAATTTACAACTTCTTTTTTCAATAAGTTGTAAATAAAATTGGAAAAAACGAAAAACATTTTCAGCATAATCATCCAGACAGTTTGATTTTCCTAAAATTCCTTTTGCTTTCAGAGAGTTTATGAAACTTACTGTAAAAAAGCTAATTGTAAGAACAGAGACTGAGTGGTGCTTATTCTGATCAAAACATCGCTAAAAGTGACATCTTATGAGAAACTGAAAACACTGAGGTATAAAAAAAAATGGTACAAGTCTCCAAATCTTGTCCAGATGCATAAAAACGTAATAAATATGTTTTTTCCACTTTATTTGTGTCAGAGCCCTGTCTTTTAGGCTTGTTCACTACATCACAAAGGTGATTCTGTAAAGTTTCTTGGTATCTGGGTTGCAACAGGTTGGTGGAAATAAGTGAAATGAGGCACCTCTCTATTTAAACAGACAATTTTACTCATTCCTTGATTCCTCAAAGTTGGATTTGTTTGTGATTCAAGGGATTGTTTTGGGTTCTCAACAATGACGACGAAGATCGGGTTCTTTTTTGGGGAACCGCAGGCTTATATTGCTGGATCACACAAGTCAGCCATGTCCTTTAACATGGTTTATTAGATCAGAAACACAATCAAGCCCCCAAAAGTCACAGGTCGCTTTGCCCTTTCACATTGAGATACTGCAAATTCATTGAAATTCAGTGCCATCACGTATGTCATCCTCAGTGTGTTATCTGCATCAGTAGCTAATGAGGGTTAATGTTTTCAGTTTGAGGACAAGCTGCTTGTTTTCCTACTTTTAACTGGGGCAGTTTTAAGTCCTTACAAACATTGTATTGATATCTGAGGTAAATGGATTGGTTTTCCTGGGAATTTAGGATTTTGGTACAAGTGAGAACTCCTATTCAATGACCGGACCACAGCCAACAAAGCATAATGGACCTATTCAAGCACTCGCTTTATCTTCTCAAGTACTTCTTCTAAGCTCCTGCAATCAGTCCACAAAGATGTACAGCGTACAAAGCTACAAGACTTTATTTCATTTGTTTTTCCCAGGTTGCATTGTTATATTTCCTTACAGTTGTAGACAGCCAATCTGGGTCTTTCAAACATTAAATCCCCAGCGTTGTCTTCCGATTCAATGGACATAAGAAACAAGCGTATACTGTTAACGTATCTAGACTAATTGCGGTCCACATGCACTGTGGAGACGGAGTTGAGATGACTTGCTGTTGCTGCTGGCTGTTGCAGTAAAACTCTCGGATGGAACTGAGAAAACGGCGCTGCCACCCAGCTCGTCCCCTCTGCTTGCTCATGTGGAACATACGGATATATGTGTGCCAGTTAGCAAGACAAGTCAAGCGGGACCAATGCGATAAAGCTCATTAGGAACAAGGGACGGAGCGATGGATGTATGTGTTAGCCATGTTGTTGTGTATAACCTAAGCCATTACTTTAGTCTTAGAACAGAGGCCAAAATTCCCCGAAAAGCTGCTCTGTAATGTTGCATTTGGGTGTTTTTAGTGTTTACTTGGCAAGGCTAGACAGCTAGGAGTAATGGGATAGCTTCAAAGGGATTATTTTTCTTGCAGGTCTGGTGAGATTCAAGTTATTTCACAGTATCAGCGTTTCAGTCTCCTCTAGATTATATATCAGTTGCTCCTTTGTTGGTTGACTTA